CCCCCCTTTTTCCAATGTTGCTAGCTAAGCAATATAACTTAAAAGAACAACTCTGAATCAGGGAGAGGGGGGCTAATTGTTATTCTGTGACAAATTTGTTATTTGCGATCCATTCAAGTACGTAAAGCCACTTTTCCACAAAGTGTATCAACATTTTTGCAGCTCGTTGTAGCGGAGGGAACAATACGAGATAAAGGATACAAGTTCTCTAGTGATTCTATTTCGTTCTGCTGTTTCTGAGCCAGGGCTTCTCTCTTTTCCTTAGCGTACTCTCTTAATTCACGTATACGCTGCTTCTGAATATCCAAACCATCCTCGAACAACCTCTTGAAGATCTACAGGAAAGAAGAAAGACTTTTGTGATAAGTGAATAAAGATGGTGAATTTTTTAGACTTTTTTGGTGTTAAATGTTTAAACACAAACAAAGATATCGCAAAAAAAACACACTGGCTGATTTTTTGCTTATAACTGGGACATCACGCATTGTCTCCCCACAATAAACGTTACAAACAAGGCTAGTACCTTCGCTTATTTCAACCTCAAACCTTTCTTTTTTTGTCACGCAGTGCTCAATGTAAAGCACTTACCTGCTCTTCACGCGTACGCCGTTTCAACATCCTAGCCCGCATGCGCAGTTCATATTCGTCGTAGTAACGCCGAGCACGCGCAGAGACTTGTCGTTTTTCCCTAAGCTTTGCTTTGACTGTACGCTGTTGTTGTTGTCGCTCTTGTTTTTCTCGCTGAAAACAAAGTGGAAAGAAAAATTGCGAGACCAGTCCGGAAAACAAGAAACTGACAGCACAAGAGTCTACCCCAGTTCGTCTGAAACAAATATGTTTTAATCCTAGGATGAGAAAAGCCAGCTGGCTTGTCAGTGACGGCACTTCCATAGCATGAAGCGCCTAGTGGTGTCGCTACTCCCCCTGGGCAGGTTACCCCCAGCATTCCAATTGGTCAGGTTGAGCTACGTTCCCATATTAGGATATATACATTACTAGGCTGGAGCCCGGGACCAGTCAATTTGGGGTTCAGTATTAACCAATACAACACTGCACCTGGCACATTTGTCTGAAACCTAGGTATGTATTGGCAGAAATAAAGTTTTTCTTTGCAAAAGAAGCCAAGAATACATCAGTTCTACCAGCTCCTACTCCTACTTACGTATAAAAAGCCCCAAATGGGCCCAGTATTAGAAACGACAATGTTCTCTTTCCTTAGCAGGGAAGGATTGCAAATTTTTTGCGATTGAAATTCCCTTTAGCCACGATATAATTTAGCTCTAGCCATGATGATCCTACCATTCTGAGATTATGGTCCAAATCTTTCTTTAATATTCCCACTAAAGCTTCCTGCCGTTTCTCAGCGTCTTCGATCATCTTCTGAGTCTTTGTCTTTTTGGCTTCAGCGCCAGATTTGAGAACAGAACTCAGGTGCCGCGCCTGCTTGTTCCACATGCTGTGAGCGGTCTGGGGCGAGACGTGCAAGAAAGGGAACTCTTCCAACATGGCGGGTAGCAATACTTCCGGGTGATCTGGGAATAAGAATAAGTTGAAACTTAATGAAGCAACTTCAGTCTTACACAATTTAGTCCATCAGCTGAGAGCCGAAAATTTGGGTTTATGGCTCACTTGAGAGGAACAGCCGAAACATGTCTTATCTTAATCTTCGACTATTAAGCANATTCTATGCATCCTGAAGCCTCACAACTGGGAAAAAGGAAATATATAGCATCGATTCAAATCCTGCTTCAACGTGTAACATTGGAAAATCACAACTCGGTAGCTACTGTGCAATGGAAAACTCCGTCTGTCATCAGATCTGAGAAAAATCGTTCAATAACTAAATAAGCTGTTAAAACATAGCAAAGTAGAGCCTCAATGCTGAGCAAACCAAACAGCCGAGGCTTGTGACCCACCGGTAGTTTCCGTTTGTGTTTTGCACTCTTCTCTCTTTCTTTTTCCTGTTGTATTTCCCTTAACTGGTCACGATATGTCCTGCGCATGGCTTTAGTGTGTCGTTTCCGCTGCTCCTCAGCCTCCTCGTACAGTAGGCGCCTTAGCCGATCCATTCTTCCCGAAACGGGAAACGTCTCCACCGTGTCACGGAACGTTACGCCGCGACGAGCAAGGCGCTCAGGAGAAGAATCCTCTTCCGTTGATTCTGATAGGAAAACACGTGTTTATTATAACGAAGTCGTCACGCAGAAGATTTCTGCCACAACTAAAAGCGAGGCACATCGATACCTACTCAAAGCAAAACTATATGACTTCCGCCAACATAGGCCAAGCCATTATACTGTTTTGACTTTGAATTTGACTGGCCAAAAATATAACATTTTCTCTCAAACTGATTAGACGACATTGCTCCGGCCGTTTAATGAACCAATTCTAGAAAATTCTGAGAAATGTAGGCCACGCAACAGAATGAAAAACATGAATAATATGTGATTGGGAAAGTCAGTGCACAAATACAGCCAAACACTCGCTAAATGAGCACTGCCTTACCTTGACCCCATTTCGTGACATTAACAATTTCACTACAAGTAAAGCATGACATGGTATTTCTCTTTAGGGAGCACCACTCGTTCCTCTGTTCGACTGTACAACAGACAATGGCTACATAAGAAAGTAAGAAGGCTTCAGTTCACCTTTATAGCTGTGATTCGTTCTTGGACCCTTGCTGCTCCTCTCAGCTCGACTGCTCAGTCGGGATGTCGATGTATCTCCTGTCACCCTTGCGGCAGTGGGCCCGAGTCGTCCGTAATCTGATAAAACAAGTACAGGTTACTGTATACCTTCGGTTCCGATGACTCTAATTTTAAACCATATACATAGCTTACAAACTAGGCTACTTCAGTATACTAGTTTTCTACTGCAATATATAGAGGCGGGTGGAGAGAGGCACTTTGAGAGTGAAGTGACTTGCCCAAGAACACAACACAGTGTCCCCTGCCAGAGCTCGAACCGGACCGCTCGATCTGGAAACGAGCGCACTAACCACGAGGCCACCGCGGTAGGAAATAATGAAGTTCGTTTATTTATACCGCTTACCAACAGCACTGTCGCTATTCTGCGCTAAATCTTCGTCTTCATGTTCTCTCTCGCTTTCACTGCCGTCACTTTCCTCGGCTTCCTTTGAAGAGTACTTTGCCAAAAGCTCTTCAGCAACTTTTGATCGGCGAACTGGGGAATGTTCAACGTCTGTTATTCCTGTTTGCAGTCTCGCAGGCAATGTTGATGCTAACGGCTGGAAAAAAACACACAAATGACCAAGTCTGAGGGCTTAACTCTGCAGCTGTGACATGGTTGCCACCGACCTAACTTTTCAAAATTCCCTGACTTTTTCCTGACTTTTCCCTGATAAAAATCAAATTTCCCTGACCAATTAAATACAAAATGTCAGGGTTAGTAGCAGCTTCTGGCCTCAACCGACGAGTTTCCTAACCAGTCTCCTCTACTAACTATGCCTCAACTTACAGCCGTCCTATCCGCCCATTCATGAAGATCCATAAGTTTTCAACAAAAATATCATTGAGATCACAGTGTCTCCAAATGTTTCTTCCAGTCCTCAATGGTCTTAAATCAGCCGTGTTAAATTATCTCAATTTTCCCCGACTTTTCTTCAAAATGTCAATCTTTCCTGGCTCAAAGTAAAATTCCCTGACTTTTCCCTAACCTTGCAGAATTCTTTTTTCCCCTGACCATTTCCTAACCTGTGGCAACCATGCGTAATTACGACGTACATGTAACTCTAACGGGATCTGTGTGGTGTCGTTTCTTACATCGACGAAGAATGATTGAAAAAGAGAAACGAAAGAAATGGGAAAGGGAGGCGTTTGCATCTAGTCAACAATTTTATCCTATGGGTAATGTTAAAGACACTTCCGAAAGGTGGTCAGATGATTTTTTTAACGCACACCATAAATTCGAAACTCATCGTCTACTTCTCCTTCACCAACAACAGTCCTTGTCAAGACTACCCACGTGTACAGAAGATCAACTCATACTCCTGGGTCCACTAATCTACTGCTTAGAGAGTGTAAGAGTACTCTCTCAGAAGTAGTGAAAATCTGCAGTGAGATCCATCACAGTAATACCTAAAAAGTAATATCGTAACATACTTGTGGTCTTCTTAAGCGGCTCAATCTATCCGCTACCCAGTCACTTTGTTCTGGTTTTGACGTTCGGTCTGCTAAACTGCTCCGGGGTGCTGCGTGAGGCCTGTAACTAGTAGATGGTACTGTTGACGATACCGCCAAAGATGAACCTGAGTATGATTAAACAGACACCGTCATCGACTTTAATCACATATACGATATCGAAAATCTCAAAGCATAACCAGATCATAGGAACTGAGCCATATTTGTTGGTTTGATTTTGTAGAGCAGCACTAGAAAAATGACAGCAACAACCCGTTTTAGTGAGGATGATTGACTTTCAATGCGCGAGGATGAATTTGAAACATGGTGCAGCACTTAAAATATTGCTCAAACAATTTAAATACGCAAAACATTTTTTTCGCTAGCAAGTCAAACGAAATCAAGTTTTTCACTCCGTAAATTGAACAATGGTTCGTTTTTCAAAGACTCCCAGCCTCTCACAGGCGGAGCTAAACAGCGCACGTAAAAAAACGAACCACGTTGAAACCGCCACCTTCCAGTTAAATTTCGCTTTCAGTTGCCCAAGTAAATACATGTAAATAGAAACGAATATAAAGATCATCCACAGAAATTTGGATTAGCGTCGTAATTACTTGAAAGGTCGGTCTCTTGCGAAGATTGTACGCTCAGTCAAAGCTGGTTCCCTGAGTGTCTGTAAGCAAAATCACCGACGGAGGTTTCCTCTCTTACCCGCAGAAGAAGAGGTGGCTGTGGTTGTTATAAGTGACCTGGCAAGTCTTTCTCTTAAGGATGCCGCACCACCAAATGCATCAGTTGTAACAGCACCACTGCTCGCTCGGACAACAGAAGGACCTGAAATATGTACACAACGCTTATCAAGGATTGTATGAGTTTGAAATTACATGTTAGATGACTTTGTCTCCTTGCAAGGAAGAGGGAAACACTTAAAATATGGAAAATTAATGGACAGTTGGGTGAAACCAATCTAGTTGAAGGGTCCACTTTTTGTTGTGTTTAATAGCAACCTCTACCAAGGAAAGCGCAATACATATGTCTTCTCTGCCAGCACCCACTGTGGAGTGATAAACGGCAATCAAATTGTTATATGAATACGAGCTTGTGACTAATTACAATGTACTGTTAGAGGTAAGATTCTTACGAGATGATCCTGAACCAGATAAAAACACTGAGTCAGTCAGAGTAGATGTGGTCCCTATCACAGCAGCAGGGGGCGGCTGAGTGAAGCCTGTACTGGACACAGCACTGATACTCCTTGGAACAGCGGCTGAAGGATAGGCATCTCCTGTTGAGACAACAAACTGTCTATCAGAGAATTGAATCGATAATCTAAGACAAAATTAAAGTAAGGAAGTATAAATTACCTTTGAAACAAACTGCTGAAAGCGGTAACCCTCTACCATAAATATTTTGACAGAGATGACTAAAATAAAAACCTCCATGAAAGATTACATGTAAATATTTCTTGAAAAGAAAACGGTGCCATAATCATTTCTTCCTATTTTATGCCATATCATCAGTTCCGTTAAGATTATCCCACAAACGCATTGAAAATTGCCAAATTAAAGTAAAACAAGATTCCTTGGGGTACAGTGGTGACTGCCAAAGAAACTCGCCTGTGAGGGGGTAGGTAAAAGCTCCCGGGGCAGTCCTTGTTAGTCTGTTGGCTACCAATCCTGAGCCAGGTTTAGTCGCTGCCCCAGTGGGCTCACTCCTTGACAAACGGCTAGCTGGACCTGATGGTACATCAACAGTGGTCGCTGCACTAACCCCAGCCACAGACTGAAATCCTATGACACACGACAAAAATGGTAAAAATTTAAACTGACTTCAAATACCAGTTCACAGTTTCATTTTAAGAACCAGCATCATTGTAGGAATGTATTAGGAAGTGAAGATACTAGAGCGTTTTGTGATTGTTGAAAGTAATTCGTGTTTGCTTTCAATTGGTTTTGGATTATTACACTTTGTGGTAAGTTTAAGCCCTTGTGCCACTTTTTTTTCAACCAGATGTTATCCAAACTCGATCCCTCGTACACTTTTTCTTGTGCTTTGCATTGGCTATCAGTATTTTGTTCAAGTTGTGATTGGTTCACTGGATTGTCTGTGTTCCTTTGTGATTTGCCAGACTAAACACCTGTACAAGGATTGAAATATACTGAAACAAAATACACCTCTATAAAATACAGACACCTTAGATACACATAAATAGACAACTCTCAAGGGTGGATTACCACTAGCATGGCAAAATGAACAACTCCATAATATGAGCCCCTACATGTATCTAAAGCAGACACCTCTTTGTGATGGTCACTTAGGAGAGACTAATTCAGACAATTCCCTCTCTAAGGTGGACACCTTAAAAGTGACTGGTACTAGTCCAGGAACATCAGTGCATTCTTTGTAGTCCGAGTCTTTGGATGTCACTGACTGAGGAGCCTGGAATACTACTACACAGTACTGTAAATTTATTTACCTGACCCCAGAGATAAGTTAATCATTTCACAAAATTTGCATTGGTATTAATTTTATTAGTTTCTTCCTCAATCTGTGAAATGGATGAACATTCAGACAATGAATCCATACCTGGCACCCTCCCTTGTGGTTGTGTATGATGAAAGTGATGATGGTAATGATGATAAACAGGAGTTGATCGCCCACTGCTGTCCCCTGACCTGACATCTGTGACTTCAGTAGCAGCTGGCTGCTCCCTTGGTCGCACACCCAAGGCATCAAATCCACAAGTCTCTCTGCCAATGGAGTCCTTTGACGGTTCCAGTGGTGATATTTGCTCAGGCCATGCAGCAGATGTTGATGATGTGGACAAAAAACTGGCTGAAGGCTTGTCACGGCCCTTGTTGGAAGAGATCATAGTCAGTAAATTAAAGCGCAACTACTGGTTTCAACAAGTTAAAAATAACTGAGTTTAGTGCAGACTCAGTGTATATGTTGTGCTGGAAATACACAAATCTGATTGGCTCTCCCAATGTTGTCTATTCACTGATGAAACACCATCTCATGCATTGCATTCAAAGGTTGGTTTCATCCCATTGGACTAGTGATGGACAGAATCCACCAATCTGATTGCAAATTCCACTAGCCCCAGGCTATCGGACACAACTTTCTTGTTACACTGCTGCAGGTTTATTTTTGATTATTTGCTCATAGAAAACTTGGGCTCAAATAGACTATCTGTTAGTATTATAGTTTACATGCATACATGTATCAGTAAAATAGGTCAATGCTAGAATTACAGCATGGCAAACTAACTGATGATTACCTGAATAAAAATCTGTATAACATATATAAATAAGACAAACTTGTAAGTTAGAGCATTTTGCTGGAGATTAAGATGCACAGGTTCAGATAGCCTGCACACATACTCAGCTGAACACCACATATTTCAGTCTTTTGCATGTTGCTTAGAATGTGGCACATCTTATTTCACATGTTGCGTGTACCTTATCCTTTGATGCTGAGGAGTCTGTGAGCTCTGTAGGTGTTAATGTGTACTGTGTCAGCTCATCTTCTATTGAAGTGGCATCACGACTGAGTAAGCTGGATGATCCAGGCTTCCTAGAAAAATATCAAATAACTTATGAAATAAATTGTCAGTGTTAGTAGGTTTGAAGACTAAGTCAAAACTTGTTATGAGGACCCAAAAATTATCATCTTCAATTGGCAGAATCTTTCAACCACATTATTTTGCAAAACTGTTAGACAAGTATATAATTATAAAATAAATTTTTGTATCATGATACAGTCGAACCTCCAGTTGCAACCACCTCTCCTCAGTGACCAATTTTCTAAAATACCAAAAGTTTCTCAGTCAAATCCCTATATTTGGAACCTCTTGTAAGCAACCACCTCTAGTGAGTGACCGCGACCACTTCTGGAACCAAAAGTTTGAAATTTTCTTTTGTTTTTAATCTCCTGTAAGGGACCACTTGACAGATAATAGAGCATAAATTAGATAATAAGGTGTTGTAACATTATCGTATTCTTGGGTAGTACAAGAGACGGAAATTTCTGAATGGAAAGTACTGCATTTTTTCTCAGAGTTGACTTTTCACTCGAATGGCACATTTAAAACATGGGGTAAGTCTCTGCAGTTACCATATGCTAATGAGGCAAAATTTTGACCCTACATGGTCTAAGCTCTTGTAAGTGACCACCTCCCTTAAGCGACCACCTAAGCTTGACATTTTAGGTAATCGCTTACAGGAGGTTCAACTGTCATTAATAAGAGGTACCATAGAAGCACAGGGAAGAAACAGTGAAATGGCATGCTTGGCCTTCTTTTCATACCAAAGGTGGAATATCCTTTCCAAGCATTGAACACCAAATCAGATAGGCAAAGAAGACAACCTGGTCATGCAGGCCTTTTAAAAGCAAGGAAGGATCTGGACACTAAAGCTCTCTGATAAATGGAAGATGGTGAATTTGCAGCTTCACGAAAATATGATAAAGAAGAAACAATGCTGCTTGGCGCCCAACTGCTATCTGGATGGTCATGGATTCGAATCCTGTCAAGGACTCAGACTTTTCTCTGTCCCATGTTTGTGGCAGTATTTCTTCTTTATCACTCAAGTTCTCTGTTAGCAATTTATTTTTAAAGAAAAACTCACCATCTGTTCCCCCCCTCCCCTGCCTATATGTGAAAATTTATTTGAAACGATTCAGATTGAGCAGTGACAGCTTAGTGTGAAATAAAAATCTCACCTTGTAGTGTATCCTGCAGGTCCAATCCTGCCAGATTCTGATCTTTGAGAAAGAGCAGTATCACCTAACACTTCTCTTCCAGTACCCTGTACAGATCTTTGACCATCCATAAGGCCACCAGCTGCATCGTCAGTAAAAACCCTACTAGCCTCCTGAGAAGTCCCAGTGATCATTGGAGTAGGAACAGACATGCCAGATGTTGAGTCTGGGAGATGATCGATGGTATCTTTCCTTTCTGGTGACTTTGATGGCACTCTGTCTGAGGTAGTCTCCCCTAGTCTGATCAGCTCAGCTGTTGAGTCTCCAACGACATCTGCTCTTGTGTCACTTAACTAGCGATTCAAGAGATCACAAGTGATAACAATTTTACAGTTACATGTGTGTAGCAAGAGCAGCAAGCCAACCACAGTGTAAATATATGAACTAACATATTTGCTAAGACCACCTAGTAAGTAAACTAAGGTATTTATGTGTGAGCTTCTCAATTCTGTAGTTAAGTATAATATGGCTGACCACTATATGGAATTTGAAACAAAATATTAAGTTAAACATCTTCTTGCTGGATCAAATCTTCTACACTCATTTTGGTTTTCCTGTTTTTCCATTTACACTATGGCTTCTTCTGCTATTAAACAACATCTTGTGTTCAGCGAGACAGGCTTGAAAATGTTCAAAACTCAGTACATAATTTAGACTTTGTCACTAAAAATGTATTTCTTTCACACCTTTGAGGTGTCAGCATCAAAGCCAGTGGAATTTCCAGCATCCCATGTAACAAAATCAGCAGGTGCTGCTCTTTTTCCTTGAGCATTTCTCTTAGGATCTCGAGTTCCTGCTGCACTTGGCAGTTGCGATGTTTCTCTGCCCAGCTGAGCATCATCTCTGAATTTGCTTGGCCTATAAAGTAAAAAAAAATGGTAGTCATGGTTGTACAACTAAGTCTGGTCCAAAACAGAACAACTGGGCAAACCAAGGGGAACTAGAAGTTCATATTAAATGCAGTGTAGCAAGAATTTTCAGTATCTATAGCACATGATGTTAAATGACTGCCTATTTGCATGACTAACACATCAAACATTTTGCACTGACTCAAAATTCAACCCCTGCTTGCACTGGTTTCAAAAATGTAACTCACATAAGATTGTAAAAGATATTTAATGGGTATCATGATTAGTTCACTCAAGCTGATCTTTGCAGATCTCTTCTCCCACTTCTCATGCCCTATTTGGTAAGTATTTATGAGCCTACCCTTAAAGTGAGTATTTAAATCATCACATCGGGGTAGCAATAACAGGTCATTGCTGCTTATAAGGTTGCTTCGGACACCTTAATTATACCACTGTAGACCATTACCTGGCTCCACCATCCTTTTAGGAACCTGCATAATTTTACCTTTTTTACCTGGTATCATACATTGATTTGTTTTTTATCAAAAGAAATGCACCTGCTTGTTTGTGGCCTTGGTCCATAGAGAACATCATAAGAAGGACCAAACTCCTCTCTTAGTACTCCAGAAATGACGTCATGTTCTGATGTCAGTAGATTAGAGTCATCTTCATCAGAACCTATAAACAACAATAACATGTCAAAGGCATGGTACAGTTGAATCTTCCAAATCTTGACATTTCATCTATGTTGATAGTATCCTCACTGGTAAATACAATGTAGATGTTCCCGTATGTATCCCTCAAGACCCTTCACTATCACCTTAGTGAGAGGGTTGTCTAAAAATCTTCAAGCTAATAAATTAATATATACCTATATAATATAGATAGGACCCTGCGTGTGCTCTGATTGGTCGAAAACCCATGCTTTTATTGTTTTTCGCCACATTTCCTCTACAAGCAAATGAAGAAGCCTAAGCCATGTGTTACACTGTGATAAAACACTCAGGGCATTTGAGAACACTTGAGAAACGTAGAAAATACTCGCCCGCAGCTCGTCTTTTCTATATTTCCCTCATGTTCTCAAATGCCCTGAGTGTTTAATCACAGTGTAATACATAGCTTAGGCTTCTTTATTTGTTAAATAACATAGTTACACTACAGAGGTCTACGTAATGTCTCTTATTAGAACTACATGTACTTGTCCTCAAAACTTTTGAGCCAGACGTTAACCATCAGAGGTACTACACAGATCTGTGAGGTGCTACAATGTCGATATGGAATTGTTCAGTTTGAAATGTACTTAGATGTCTCTCTGATTGCGGAAGAGAAATAAGAACATGCAAAAGGCATTATTAAATTTGCTGAGGAACAATAAAACATTGCAAATTTTTTGCAATGTCTCCAGCCAGGACTCGAACCCGGACTGCTTAATCCAGAGTCCAGGGCACTAAACATTAAGCCACTGTGCCTCACACTACCACCAATAAGGAACTATTAATGAAAACAGGTATAATCAAATCAAAACACATGACTACATTAAAAAAAAATAATCAAACACCAGAAGACACTCAGCCATAAAGACTGTTGGCAGAGACTTACAGCAAAGCATAGTGACATGCATGCATACCTTCACCATCGACATATTCCATGAAGTACTCAAGCAAACCAGCAAAAATCTCCAGAAAGTTTCGTATTGAAACCTTGTCACCCTCAACAATGGCCTTCCCAGAAATGTGTGAGAGATCCACATTAAGGACATCAGTAGCTACCAAATTAATCACAGTTTGGCAGTTTCTAATGTGCTGCTCAGCTGAGATGGGGTTCTCTAGAATGCCTGTGTGATCAGTAAGTTGTGATAAGTAAATTGCTAC